CGGAAAGGGGCTCAGGGGCGCCCCCGGAACAGCCAGAGATCTCACTGCAGCTAAAGCGGCCATGCCCTCTGCCAGGACCGGCCCAGGGAGCCAGCCAAGCGCCTGCATGGAGCTGCCCGAGGAGGGGTGCCCGCCTGAAGCACACTAGCCGGGCAGAGCAATGCCTGGGCCGGGGAAGGGCAGCAGGGCGTGGTGGGAGCAGGCAGAGGCAGGGGAACATTAACTCGGCGTGCCTGCCCTCCTGCAGCGCGCTCTCCCGGACAGGCTGTTCCGCCCACGTGTCTCGCACCAAGCTGGACTGAGATCAAACTGCGAACGGCAGGCGGAGGCCAGCAGAGACCGAGGGGCCAGCAGGGCCCGAGCCCCCTGTCCCGGCAGAGACCTGATTAGGTGAGACGTGCCCGGATGATCCCAGCAGCCCCTGCTGCAAGAAAGCCAAAAAAAAAAAACCAAACTCCCAATGTCCCTGCCAATCCGACATGGGGGAAATTCCTTCCTGGCCCCGAATCTGGGCATCTGTTGGACCTGGAGCATGTGAGCTCCACCAGCCAGGCATCTAAGACCACCCCAGAGCACTGGGCACCCCATCCAGTGCCTCGCCCCCAGCTGCAGCCAGTCCCCAGTGGAAGAGGAAATTTGCCCTTCCCAGCGCTCAGATTACAACTGTGCATCGCGGGAGGGGCGGGAGAAACCTTCCTGGTTCTGCAGGCACCTGCCTGGCTGGCTGACGCCTGGAAGCAAGAATTAGGAGCGTGACTCTGACGGGGGGCAGCGGGACAGGGCTTCTCGGGCACAGAGAACCTCGCAAGCGACGTTCCCTGTAATCAGGGCGCTTGGGTGGCCACCCAGGAGAGATTCAGATGCTGCCCAGCGGATCAAGCGCCCCCAGCCGGCAGCAGGCGTTCCAATTGGTGGTGCACATCTGCACATGCCTTGGTGCATGTAATAAAATGTATTCCACACATTGACAGAACAAAAGAGAGGGAACATTGCCTGCAAGACCTCTCCCAGGGGCTCAGACCAAGGGAACAGCACTATTATTACTAGGTGTATTACAGTAGCACCTCGGCACCCCAGTATCTCACCGTACTAAGGACTGTGCATTTTAATTCCTATTAGGTGAATTATGGTTGTGTCTAGGGCCCCCAGTACTGTGCCAGGTACTGTACAGGTGCATGGCTATTGGGTGTATTACGGTAGGGGATAGGGCACCCCAGCTATGGCTCAGGACCCTGCTGTGCTAGGCGCTGTACATTCTCCTCCTTAGAGAGTTTCTAAGCCAAGTACAAGGCCAGATGGAGGGGGGCACAAGGAAACAGTGCTGGGCAGCAACACAGGCAGGGTCTCATCACATCAGCCCCCACCTGCCACCCCGCCCCCCAGCCAGAGGTCTCTCCCCTCCAGCTGTGCCAGCCTGCAGCACGCCCCCGCCCCACAACAGAACTCACTGCCTAGGGTCTGCCGCAGCCGGCAGGGAGCTGCCTGGCATCTGCCGCCTCCTTTGCCAGCCAAACCCGGAAGGCCCCCTCCCCCGCCTGCCCTGTCCTCTGCTCCCCAGCAGCCTGCGCGCCAACCAGCCTGAGATTTCTTTGTCGTGCCCCAGGAGCCTTAACACCCCTCCCTGGACAGTTGCTGGGCGGTTTCCAGGCTACCAGCTTCAGCGTATGGATCCCGGCCGGCGGTGCCGGGGGAACGTCTTCCGGCAGCATCGCGCAGCGAGCGAGGGTAGCCGTGGAGGGGGCACACAGCGAGGGGGGGCCACGGATGGGCCCCTTCATTGCTGGGTGGGCTTCAACCACATGGGGAGGCCACAAAACGTCAGGGGAAAGCCAGGACTAGGAGCCAGAGCTGCTGCCTACAGCCCCTTGGCACTAAACCTTCAGAAATCCCAGTATCCCCGGATACACAGGGCTTGGCATTTCACTGCCCTGGCCTCGTGGTGTCAGTGACAGAGGTAAAGAACCCGCCCCTCCACCCAGCTCCTGAGACGATGACAGAACCCAGGAGTCCTGCTTCCCTGGCCGTGACTAGCCCACCAGACCGCAATCCCCTGCCAGAGCCGGGCAGAGATTAGATCCCAGGAATTTTGACTCCTAGGCCTTCCTGCTCTAACCACTAGACGCCACTGTCCTCTGGCAGCTGGGGAAAGAACCCAGGCGTCCTCCTGCCCAGCACCCACCGCTCCACCCACTCCCCTCCGGGGCTGCCCCACGCCACATAAAGAAACGGTGCCCACCAGACCGCAATCCCCTGCCAGAGCCGGGCAGAGATTAGATCCCAGGAATTTTGACTCCTAGGCCTTCCTGCTCTAACCACTAGACGCCACTGTCCTCTGGCAGCTGGGGAAAGAACCCAGGCGTCCTCCTGCCCAGCACCCACCGCTCCACCCACTCCCCTCCGGGGCTGCCCCACGCCACATAAAGAAACGGTGACGCGGGCCAGCTTCCAGCAGCGCCCTGCAAGTCTGAGCGCGCCCCCGTCGCCTTCGCTCGCCCCCCTGGCCGGGCCTTCCCCCCTCCCGGGGGCCGCCCCCCTCTGGAATGACGCCGCCCGCGGAGCCCCCAGGTCCTGAGCACACAGACCCCGCGCTCGGCAAACAGCCGCGCCCTTCGGAAGAGGCGGCAAAAGCCAATTCGATTGCGTTTCAGAGGGGCCCGGAGTCCACCATCCCCCCCATCCCCACCCCGCCGGGCACAGTGCAGGGGCCTGGTCGCCCCCCTGCAGCCGGCACTGTCAGCCCGGGCATGATTCTGGCCCCCCTGGGCGGGGGGGACCGGCCTGGGTGGGCCCTGAGTCGCAGGCACGCTGAGACCCCCCCCC